CTCTCCCGCCCGCCTGGTCCGCACGCGCCGCACCCGGGCTCCCGGCTCGCACAGGCCAGGGGCCGCAGCCACGGAAGCCACCTCTCCGCCGCCCTTGCTTCGGGGACTCCACGCAGGCTCCGCTGTCCCCGTGCACCCCGTCTCCCGGGTACTACCCGAGCCGGCCTCGCCACCCCGTGCCTCCAGGCCTTCGGCCCCGCGCCAAGGCGCCCGCCGCTGCCCACCGAAGGGACGTCCCCGTCCACGGTATCTTTCACGTGTGTGGGAGCTGGGGACCAGACCCAGCGGGGACCGAGCAATGTCCCCAGCACTCCTCAGGTGTTAAACTTGGAGACCCGTTGCCCAGACTTGCGTCCAGCTTGCAACCTTCCTGCCTCTGCCTGCCCAGAACGCCGGGAGAGTGCCCGTGCCCGCGTGGCTCAGCGTCACCTGCCGCATGTTCTGTCACCCCCCTCCCCCCCATGGTCACTCATTTCCCACAGCACTGACCCTCTGCCACCCCAGCATCGTTGCCCCTCGCCACTGCGTGCCAGCCCTGGTCCCCAGCGCCAGCCCTGCCTGTCCTCGCCCCACTCACCCGGGCGTCAGTGACCTTGAACTCGCGGAGGATGTACTGTGGCATGTTGTACTCGGCCATCGGGTCCACCACGAAGTACTGGTAGCGGGCAGAGCGCTCGGCCGGCCAGTACTGGTGACACTTCTCCTGTCAGAGAGTGGTGGCCGCGGTCAGCCCTAGTCCCAGTGCTGGCCCAGCCCCAGCCCTGCCCTCCACGGCCCCCGCTCACTCGGCCCATCTCTCGTAGCTTAGTCAGCATCACCACAATGGTGGAGTTGTTTTCCCACAGCATGCGCCAGAAGTCCTCCGTGGTCTCCGCCAGAGGCCCCTGCGTGGCGATGTAGGCCTTCTGCTGCCTGCGGGGGGAGGTGTGTGAGCTCAGGCCTGGTGAGTCAGGGCCACATCAGGACTCCACAGTGGCTGCCACTGCACCAGCTATCTCCCAGTAGTCCCCCTGGGCACATGCACTGGCCTCAGCAGAAGTTCAGACTCCTTGAGGAAACTGCAGGATGTCTGCCTTTTTCCTTCACCTCCCTCCCGTGCCATCAAACTACTTCCAGTTATTTTCAAGCCCAAGTGGACCTTCACTCTGGGGCCTCTGTATGCACTGCTCCTTCGCTTGGATACTGTTCCCCGCGCCGGAGCTTCTCCATCTGAGATGCTCACACTCGGGCCGTGTCTGGGCACTGGAGGACGTGGCGCAGAACCCCTGAGCTCCACCCCACAGTTCCACGAGCGGCCCCTCACCCCCTCCCATCGGAACACTAGAAATGTCCCGAAACTGGCCCAACAGAGAAGCCCTGACGTAGCAGGTCGGGAGCCGCATCACAGACAGCAGCGGTGAGGTAAATACACAGATAAAGCCTCCTTCCACCGGGGCCTCCTGACCCTGCCTCGCTGAGGACCCCGCAGGCAGGGCTGGGAGGGCTGGGGGCCGCATGCGTGCGTGCGGCCCTGGCTGCCACCTGTAGCCGTCGATGAAGCTGGCGTTGATGTAGTCGGAGCCCTCCACGCCCCGGATGGGCTGCAGACAGACGCGGGTGCTCTCATAGGGCATGATGTTCACCAGGCGGTTCTTGAACTTGTTGCAGGGCAGGTTGGCGCTGATGAACCTGGAGGTGTGCGCCTTCGAGTTTGCCAAGCGCTGCAGGGGGAGAGGGGCGGGGCCGGCGGTCAGGCTGGGCGGGGCCTGGCAATGGGGCGGGGCCCGGGGGATGGGGCGGGGCCGGGCATCAGGACGGGGCGGGCCGCTCCCTGCTCCCCACTCCTGGTGGTGGCGGCACCTTGAACTCCAGCTCCATGCCGGTGACGTGCTCGCCCGGCTCCACCTGCGCCAGCTTCTGGATGTAGGTGTAGAGGCTTCGGGCGGGGACCTCGGTGTTGCCGCAGCCCACGGCCTCCAGCAGCGCCTCGTGGATGAAGCTGTACTGGTCCTCGGTCTGCACCATGTAGTTGCGCTGGGAGCGCATGAGCGTCACGTGCCCGTACACGTCCACCGTCTTCTCAGGCTTGATGCGCTCCAGCATGGCGTCGATGACGATGAAGCACCCCGTGCGGCCCACGCCGGCGCTGCAGGACAGCGAGCCCCGCTCAGGCGCTGCGGGTGGAGGGTGGGGGCGGG